AGCAAAAAGCTAAGTACTATTGACCTCGTTACAACGCAATCTGATCTAGTAGATAAAAACTTAGTAAATTTCTAACCATCCAGATTGAAATAATCTAAAATGCCTTACGAAAATACGAGTTCTTAGGTAAGGGAAAGCGTGTGCTATTTATCTCTGGGCATCTGTAATACACCCATTTACTTTTCTAGCGCTCAGGTCATCATTTTGTCGTCATACGATATTTATAAAATGCTCTGTCTGTTTTGAGCAGTAGGTGCTCTGTATTTCTCTAAATTTTAACAACTATCGTCTGGCGGCCCTATAGTTTTTGACAGGTAAAACTAGATATCCGATGTTTGTCCAACAAAAGTTTGACTCACGAATGAACAGATAAACCGTTAAATTATCATGTCATTCTGACCCGAATATCGAAGATGACGAGCGTGAGCGACCGTCTAAACCACTGTTTCGTTCTTTCAGTCCTAATCCTGAAATGTCGTTATAACAACGAACAATTAAATTGACAAATCAATAGTCTCCCAACTGATTTCTGAATAATCACCGTGGCACCGCCGTCATGGCCGTTGACGTCACCTGACAGTAAATTAAACCGGCAAATCGATACGGTGCCGTTTCCCTATTCCTATAACAGTCGCCTTTAGTCGACCTACGCTGGCTAGACATTCGTCGTCAAAACAGGTCTCGCCTGTCCATTTAATTAGTAATCCGTATTTATGACCTTGAACTTTCAAGTGTTTTGTTTTGCGTAAGCACCTTCTTTCATGTTACGCCCGTCCCGAAAAACAAAATGCTGTCCGCTGTCTACCACCCATTTACCTTTCTAGCGCTTCAGACAGCGCTGTACCTAATACAACGTACATGTATCCGTGTCGAACTAGAAGCTAGAACAGAATTGACACGTTCCGCAACCTTCTATGGCTACGAAAGGTTGCTTACCTAATTCCTACTCATCGTCGCCCTGGTCGCTCTCTAAGCCCAGCCTACATCAGGTCGTTCGGCCACAGACGTTGTTATTGCTCACTCACTGTGCTCGCCATTCGACAGTGGCAGAAGCAACAACATTCCGCTCACTTTTTTTTCCCTGAACATGATTGAAATGTAAATACTATATCTAAATGCAAATAAATATTTGCTATAACCTCCTATCCTTTCACAAACCGGCGCCTGTCTTTCTTGATCCTCAGAGCTACCCACAAAAAGTAGCTCTGACGTCAATGGTCGTATCTAACCCTGACTCTTACCGATAACAAACTCGTCTTTTGATCTTTTTCGCAAACAGGGTCAATATAGACGAATTCACGACAATCCTCACCCCTCACGAAGTTCGCCTCAGCAGTACTAGTAGAGCAGCAGCATCAACAAATACAGTCGGTCACACTATTTTCTCTTTCCTTTCGGATCAGCCGCTTCTGACAGATATTTAGAAACCTACGATCTGTCTTTCAGCCGACGTTATATCTTGAAGACGTCGCCGACAATAATCGTGTCTTGCGTCTCTTCTCATTGTTCTCGTTTCTTTCTTTGTTTACCACCGAAAGGGACGGACCCCAACTGCGGCCTTGAACCGGCCATTCTTCCCGAATTGACCTTTATGTCGAACGCAGCAAAGTCATCGTATTGTGGCACTGAAGCTAGGCGAACGCAAGAAGATCGGGGGATGCAGTCCCCTTTCGATGACAGCTAGACGATTCTCTCGTTCGCAAATTCGCCGGGAAGGCCAGCGACTGGCCTATATTCGATCAGCGACGACAACATCATCGACCGCAATGGCAGCAACTGCTACCACCCCCTCTAGTCCCCCCTGCGGAATAAACTATGCCTCGACTGCAACAGCAGCAACTATAGTTGCAGTAGGAAGAGCAATGGCAATGCTAAAAAAAAGTCTTTGTATTGAGACTCATCCCAATTTCTGTCTGCAACAGCCTCTCAATGTTAGTACAGCACCCTTCTACTGCCAGTAATCCTAACGTGCCTCGGTGCTTGACACGTCTCCTACGCTACCGACCGCTGAACCCCACTTTGTCGAACACGCACGGCAAGCTCCAACAACAGTTTCTGCTGGCGGTTTATCTCCCTGACGCTTTCTTCTTCTGGTTCTATCGACTCTTGGCCCGTATGGTAAGTGTTTCACTATTAAATGAATTCAAGTTTTGGAAAGCCGCCAGACGCCCCATCACAATAACGTTGAAAGATGGTGTGACGCGCCGCCGACAACACGTCGTGTAATAGATGATTAGACCCGTCGGCTATTGGCCTTACAGTCAAAGGACAAATTTGGATCCCAGTTGGAAAATCATCAATTCGACTCAACAAGATAACGGTAACCTAGAGGCAAAACAACGGTAAGGCCAACCGATGGGACAGAATATTGCTCTCCGCTTTGTTAACAGAAACGCGACCGTGGACATTTTCTATTTTCGCACATTTCTCTGATGTGAACTTTACACAACGACCGAGTTGTATGTAGTTGTTGGCTTTTTGAGTTCGTATCATGTGAGCAGTTTTTTCTGTCACATTACAGCGTCAATAGCATACGTTAGAACCATAGTTCCCGAATGTGGAAGCGTCTTACAACATGCAAATAAACATAGAATGCGGGTGCCCAGAGTCCGCATATCTGCAAAGCGGTGCTTCCGACAGATGATCCCTTTTGGCCTTTATTCGCAACACGAGAGTGATAAATTGCTACTTTCTCATGCCGTACACCAACAGCGCCTTTGTACACTACACGCAAAAACACCACCTCTCAGGATAGAGAAGCGTGGATTATTGGTGATTTTTTACGGTAAACAGCAATAAAAACAAGGACGCCAACACATCGATGTAACAGTAGCTTCTGTATGTGTTCCCAATCCTAAACGTCGGATATCCAAATCGGCTCCCGTGCCATGTCATCGCCGGAAGTGCCAAATCCATGCATTAGATTGTATTCCGAGACGAAGTGAACGCCATAAAAAGTAACGATAAGGGCATCCGATAAACGTCTGCTCTGCACGAACAGTGTAGGGACAGGGTATCATTGCCCGAGATGTGGATTGCGGACCAGCGGCTTGCGTCAAAAAATGAAAGGAACACAGACACTCACATAAGCCCGAGTGGAAACAAGCAAGCTATTAGCATAAACTGTCTTCCGATCGAATGCCGATGGTTTTTGTTGTCCCTATAGTTTTAGCTGGAGTGTGGCTCTGCGGATGTTTAGAATAAAGTATAGTTCCAAATTGTGGTAGTTATTCGAATTGCGTTACAGCATACATCCATACACACATACGGACGCAAAAACACGGCATCTATTCACTACAGATTAGCATCAAGTAAAATGTGAAGATCTGACTGGGCAACTCTGACCTTGCTTGGAGTTTTTCCCCTAGTATATATATTTTCCTTAGTTAAAATCTGGATTTTCGGACATACACTATACATATCTCAACCCATCTACCTATACAGCGTGAGCGAATTACCTGATAGGGTCATGACGACGATAATGAGCTTCAGGAGTAGTTGATGTCTTTTTTTAAAAATAAAAGCCCACCTTTTATGGCCACTTCCGTTTAGAACATATTTATGTAATAAAAGACGGGTGTTATTAAAAAATCGCATAAGAATAACATTTAAAACTGTGTTCATTTACAAAAGGAATTGTGCGACTACTTAACACGAACACTTACGGAGGCCAACACAGATTAATAGGGATTGAATAAGGAACTAAACAGGAAAAGCCTTTATAGGAAATGCATTATCGATCACTCGACAACATAGGGAGTCGTGGGAGGTAATGTGGTGATAGTGACAAAAGAGGCCACCTCATTTATCTGCCGTTAGCCAGCCAGCCAGCCAGCCAGCCAAGGGCTTCCCTGAAATTTGACAGAGACTGCAGATATAAATGATATGACTGTAGAATTAGCATTAACGCTCGCTAACTCGCAATCACGTCAGCTCACACGCAATTATATAGGAATGGCAAATAGTAATATCAGCAGCCAGCTCAGCGCAGCTAAAGATTCCAGCAGGAGAGCCCCGATCGTACTGTCAAAAAAAGGGTCGACATGAGGACCTGCAAGTCCCAGAATTTACGAACGTAAACGGATTTGGTAACGAGGCCAGTAAGGAGATGACGACATGGTTGGTCAGCAACCGACCCAAATGAATGCTATCATATGAGTGCGAATTTTTAGAATGAGATCTATAAAAATACAAATATTCTGGCGTCCGGCTAAATTCAATTCGTAATAGGTACGATACTTAACTATCAGTAAATAATGCACGATTTGTGGGTTTAATATTGCCATTGCCCCACCTATTTAAAGGAGTCAATTTCATTTTTTGTGTTTTCATTAATCGGTATGTATTTGATTATAACAGCTTACTCCGAAAAACAAACCTCGAAAAGGCCAATTAATATCGATTATTCCTAGCGTTGCCCGAAACACAGCTTTGCATGAGTTTGCATGTAATTTAATGCAATGCAAATGTGCACGAGTGATGGTAGCTTATATATGTTTCGCAGGACGCGTTTTTCTTCTTTTTTTTTTTTCTTCCGTTTCTGTTTCCGTGTGCGGTACTAGCTAGAGGAGCGCTGACTATGCCCTCTTCGCCATTTGTTCGATGCAGATAACTAAGCTCTACACTAATATCTATGACTAGTGATGTCGCTGCTGATGTTGGCGATGGCCGATGCGATCATTATATAGTTTACTGCTGTGTAGACACAAGTTATTGATCAACGAAGGGTACGTATATCGGATTCATTGCCGCTGGCACATTGTCTAATGTAAAAAATAGGCCTTTTTGTGGCCGTACTCAAAACACTGTGCTTATTACTGCCACTATGCTAGTTTGCATTGTTCCTTCAACGTTCCCTAATTTAGATTCGTAAATTTCTTACCATTTCTTTACCATTAAAGAGCCTTCCAGCCGTCGTGACGCTGGTGACTGCGTGCGCGCGTGCGTGCGTTTAAGTACATAAAGTTCCAAAAAAGGCTCGCTTTCATTTTTTTTTTAGAGTATTATGCAGGTATATGAACGAACGATTATATGAAACCAGACAATTGGTGTATGCTCAATTATCCCTGAAAGAAGATGTAGCAGTTGTTAAAACGGTTTCTAGCCGCAACAAGTTACGATAGAACCCCTCGAGTTGGGATGATTTAAAGTTGAATAATATTGCCATCTCCATTTGTAACTTGTTTAAAAGTAACTACCTCACGTAGATAAAAATGTATATCGATGGGAAACGATATTAAATAGAATTATGTAGCGATCGTCGATCATGTTTGCTGCAACGACCGTTTTGATCAGCAGAACTGCCAAAAAGCTCCCGTCATTGGACTCGGCTCTTATGGAGAGCAATAAAAAGTCATAAAGGGCAAATAATCGATCTGCTAGCAATCGAACTCTGTCTGTGTCCATGAGAAAATGCCGAAGGTTTCATCGCGTCGTGAGTCTATGCGATATATATATATATATATAAATAATTATGGCAGCTGGGAGATCAAAAAAGTAACTAACGAAGACAAAAGGCTTATTTGAGCTTTCTGAATGGCCGCTTTCAACTTCGGGATAATTTATGACGCTTGCAAGTTGCAGCAAGAGCAACAAATTACTGATGAAAATAACAGCAACAACTCCATTCGCAACCTTTTCTCTAATGTTGTAAATGTAACAAACATAGATAAATGGTATATCTGATTATTTTCCTTGTGTGTTTCTCGGTCATATGCTGCATACATGTGTGTAAAACAATGTAGAAATTAGCATATGTTAATGCAATTCTTCCGGAGGTCATCGTATCTTATAGCTTGTCCGATAAGATACCTCTCCGTTTGAAAGCGGTATATTTTTTCCAATATCGATGACATCCGCAAAGCCTAAAAGCAATTAGTTAATCTGTTTCTAAGAAGTGGAAATACCCGGGAACGAATCAAAACGGATACTGAAATTTTCGGCGTGCGCTTTGATAGGGTTGACCAAGACTACGAAAGCGAACGAAAAAATTCGGGTTTGGAACTGGGGTCGAGATAGGGCTTAGGGATAATATCAGACATCAAAACTCGAACCATATATTTATTTAGTAGTAGGATCCCGACAAAAACAGAATAAGGTGACATTGCTCACAAAGAACACATTCCACCTAGTACACCAACAGGAAAATTAAACCCAAATAATAAAGTTACCTATATTTGCAAGATGGAACATTTAATGAACGCGGAATCTTTCCCGTCCTGGTCACACTGTGGAAGCTGACCAAGTGCTGAGTGAACACTAAATAGAGAAAAATAACTTAACAATTGCTTTGACTTGCGCACATCCACTCAGGCTGTAATAAATTGCAACTTGCATAACTATACTTCACCCGTCGGCCGCACTGTTATCGTCGACTGACAACCCACTTTAGATCCACTCTTAGATTGAGCCTTAGAGTTTGTCGATTATTCTATGGCGAGCAGCGATCAGCCTTCCATATACAGAGGACCCCATGATTTGCTTTTCCTCTACGCGTAGACGCGAACTCTAACGTGCTACAAAAAAGTAAACATTCCTCATATGCTAGATGATTGCGGTATACGTGGCATTATTGTCCACATTTACAATAAGTATCTCACATTCGAAATCGATAAAAGAATGGGCCCAATGACCCTGATTAGGTGTTCCTAATGAAAATCAATCGACCCAGTAGGTGCGCTTGGAACTCACTGAGGCTCAATCGGGTGAAACGCGAGTTATATTGTTTTATATTCTATACGGGACGCGGAACTCCTAACTGCGGGCGCTAGACCTCTATGCTACAGGTCTAGCGCCCGCAGTTACGAGTTGCTCAGCATTGCGCCTATCACCAAATGCTAGTGCTGGCATAGACCTTCGATACGATGGTTTGGAGCTAAACTTTGACCTAAGAAGGCCAGGTTTCGCTGATTTAAGGCCCATCAATAACATACGCCACACGATCCAAAAATGAAACAAGAAGTGTACTGCTAGCAGAATGATATCCAAGGGAATTGTTACTATGTTGTCTTGGTCCCCGTATTACTGTTATCGCTGCTATTCTTGTTGCCATTACTCAAACGATAGATTAGACGCTTAAAGAACTGTGATCTACAGGATACATCCTTTTTTTTAATTTTTTTTAATATATTTTTATATTATATTATACGTATTTTAATATTAGTTAATAAGTACGATGATATTGTATCGTGTTTTGATTGCGCTTAAAGTGGAATACGACATATTTGTTTCCTAATTCTTGCAGTGAACCATATGCGCAGCTAGTGTGCTTTCAATATATTAATTAACACCAGGGATCATCGGGAGAATAGAATGTATGCCCCTCTCTACTACAGTTCAGTAGGACATCGCCCTCGTTATCAGTACTGAAATTCGGCCATACATACATACATATATATATATATAGACATAAGTACACATTTCCATAAAAAAAACAATGAATTACGAGCTAATAAAATAATATTACACGCTAGAGAACCTTTTATGTAAAGGCGTAGTTGGCCTCGTTTCTTTTCTTAGCTACTACTGTATATCCATCTATTTATAAGTACGGACGCCTATGGCAAAATATATTAGATTTATTTTTAGACATAGATATACATGCACAGACTTTGTGCGTGACTGCTTCCACTCGGCTCCGACCCTTTAGCAGGTTTTCTTCATATACAAGCCAAGTTGTTATTAACCTCATCATCAATATGGTCTGATTCTGATTGATAATGATCACAAAGATCACAATAGACAGATATACCTACGTGTTGTAAGCAGCGAGCTTTCAATGGACGACGAGATCACTACCCCTGAGTGAACGTGGCCAGTGAAGCCGCCAAACACTGAGCGTATCTATAACGTTTGGAAGTAGGAGGACACCCGCCTAACCCATAACATTAACAGACTTCGACAAAAAGGAGGATCTATTTCCAATGGTGTGGTGAGCTGAGTCTAATACATATATTAAGTAGCGAATTGCCGCAAATGTTAGATTTGTGTAAGCGCAAAGCAGAAAGAACTCAAAATACTGAGCGTCATCGTTCTATGGGGAACGACGCGAACAAAGGCGGATGGTGTGTTACACAGATGGAAGGGGAAGCCAGATCAAAAACAACCTCTGGCCGATGCTATCAAAGAAAGATAGCAGAACGGCAGCAAAACGGCGACGAGGTCGTAGGGTCTCTGTTCATCTATAGCTGAACCAGGTTTTTAGCATAGTCGCGCTTGCGTTCAGTACAGCAGCAGCTGGCCATCGTGCAGCAGGACAACAAAAGGAGAACCCAAATTCGTTGGACATTGAGGATATAAGCGAGCACGCCATACAACCGCGCACGCCGTTCTATCAGATGTTCCGCACCGTTTTTTCCAGCAACGGCGGGAGAAGCGGCGGTAGCTGATATTGCGTTTGGAGCAGATAGAGGTACGCACATGCAGGCTTGCTTGATTACGTGTACAGGAATATAAACGAAAATATTGAGAACACCGGGGTATAAGGAACTGAGAACAATTCCTTGGACATCGAAAGGTTCTCTCACGTGGGACCTCACAGAGCTCGAGCCATCTGGACAGCGCGCCCTTTTATCGAAAAGATTTTGCGAGAGGCGTAACCTGACGTGCGGCATGTACGTTTGTCCTATTAGTTTTCAAGCCCTTAACTTGTCCGGTTTGCTGTCTGATTTATGGTTGCTTTTCCGTCATCCCGATAGAGGACGCAATAAATAGCTACTGATGAGAAATTGAAACATAGTAGAATATTTACCAGCGGGCGCAGAACTGCATTGCTTTTTGGATCTTATTCGATACTTCGGTTCTTACCAATTTGCTCTGTGTGGACAAACGTTATCGCCACGCAAATCAGGCTATACTGTATCTATAACTAGAGAGCTCTACTGGTCGCCTAGATTTTTCAGCTATTTGTCACCAGACTGCTAATGATAGGTTGTAATGACACTTTCAACAACGGATCTGGATTATAACCACCACATTTGTCTATCTCATAAGCATGTTTCTGTAAAAAAAAAAAACGTAGCTATTATTAGGTAAAAACATGTTTATATAAACAATTCGGTTATTTGATTGTGTTCAATTCTGGTTCGTCCTTATTCAAAGGGATGGGCCTTAATGTAGTTTCAAAGCCCACGGCGCGCTTACCATTTGTCTTATAATTATAACACGAGACTGCGCGTTCGCCCAATATATAATCGAAGCTGTGAGTACAAGACCTTGTAAACACCAAGTGTTACACCTTACATTCTTGATCAGTAAGTTAAAGTCAGAAATGAAAGACTAGAACTTTTCTTCTTACGGAAATACGATGCGGAATAGAATTGGCACGAACTACCGTTATCCGATGAAGCTGATGTGAAGTAGCGTTGATCCATAGCAACATGCCTCGGCTTAGCATGCGGTTCGGAGGTTTTCAAAGTTCGTTAAGCATGTGGCTTGCATTCACCATACATTGAAGTACAAACGCCTTGTTTAACCCTAGACTTTTCTTTTGCAACGCGATTCTGCGACAAACAATATGATCCATGGGAGAGTCCGAGAGATGCAGGTACGGGCTCATGGTGTACCAATTGCAGTTCATGATATACACGATCGTAGCCTGAATCTACGGTTAAAAGCATTTAACTTGTTTAAGAACTGACCTCGTCGATTGCGCTTGAATTTTAAAATGCTTCTGTGTTCTCGAAGACGACGACGACAACAAAAATGGCGACAGCTTATAGTTCATAAGATATTACGATAACTTGTTGTTAGTCCGACTAATATCTATCGGCGGGTGGAAGATTAAAGTGACGCGTCTCTGGGTGAAGCGCCACTCTAAGCAGAAGTTGGCCATGACAGAGTAGTCAGGACCCACTCCCAGAAAGCTAGCAACTAACTACTGGCAGCTGGTGTATATATATGCATGGTAAGTGAACCGGCAGTCACTTATCTACGACTAGATTCGTAAACACTAAAGGCCTCCAAAGACTATAAGAATCAAGGTGGACTAACAGAGGGGTGAAAATGCCATGGAGGATATACAGGTGGCAATGGCCGAAACATTCTCAATGAGAATGAACAAGAAAAA